GCTCAGCTAAGACTGCTTCTGCGCCTTCGTCATGCAGTAGGCTTTATCTTTCCCATAATGAGATAAGAGTGAATTTCATTTGGTTCTTTCTGACATTGTTTCTTTTAGGTCGGCCGATGCATAACCCCTCCAGAAGCGCTCACGTACCTTTCACCCCAGACGCAGGCTGCATTGCCCACCGCAGCTGCACAGGCTGCTGCTGCAGTGACGGCGAAAGTGATGGCTGCTGAGGCATCTGGTGTAAGTCTGCAAAGAATCTGCTCTGGTCATTGTTGTTATTAGATTCGCTTTAGGCTGTGAAGCATCAAGGATCAGGTTCAAATTCTCCAAGAGCAATGAGTCCAGCTCCGGCCACCCCACCGCTAATTCCTCCTCCTGGTATCGCATGCCCATCACCACCGACAGTGGTTGCTCCAACTGTGGCGCAACCTAAGCTGATGGTGCCACCTCCTCCTGTCGCTATAGCGACTCCTCATTTATATAATGTAACAGTTTTCTGCAATCTTTTTTCTGCTCATAAACCATTAGATATTTCCAGCCTCCACCAGTTCCGCAAGGGCCGCCTGTTGCATATCCAACGGTAGACTATGGAGTTCCACCACCTCCGGTCAATGGTTACCCAACTATGCCCTCGGTTGTTGTGAGTTTGTGCAACTTTGAGATCCTCGCGTGATCTGGCTCATCACTATGATTATATTTTTAGCCTCCTGTGCCTCCTCCTCCAGCTACTCAGCGCGGTTTCGGGGGCTTTGCTGCACCCGGTGTTCCAGCGCCTGTAGCTCCGCCACCTAGTCAATTTGCTGCTATGCCTCCACCACCACCACCAGCAGCTCGTCCGCAGCCTGCTGCACCGAAAGGAGAACGAACTTTTGAAGAAAAGGTGAAGCTGTTTATCCTGCTTTCTTGTAAGTCTTCTACCAACTCTTCTGTTGCAGATGGAAAGAATTTTGGAGAGGACAAAAGCAAAACAGGAAGCAAAGTTGGCGATGCCAGTAACCTTTGGTGCAACTGACCCACTTTGGGCACCTAAGGATCCTTCTGCGGAGGATGACCGCTCTGACGGTAAGGTAATCTATGAGCTGAACTTTTGTCATGAATCTCCTTCAGATCCTTTGGCGCTCACGGCTAAAGCAAATCAGGATGTGCAAAGTATGGCATTGGCACTAATTGGAGACAATACGTTAGCACTGAAAGGACAAAAGGTGGGTGCCATGTTGTTCTTAGTGCAGACAACTCTGCATTCTCACCTGAGTCGTGCATGGAACACTTATTATTCTAACCATGTTCTTAACATTGTTTTCGTTTTATATTTCTCCAAAATCTGGAAGATATAGACTTATTCTAGAACGCCGCTCAGGGCGATTCAGCAGAACCACAGAAAAAGAAGAAGCGGGTTGTCGAAGCAAAAAAGATTCAACCAAAGGTAGGAAAACATTCCTCTGATAGGCGGCAGACTATCGGCTTGCCTGCTTGTGCAGCAG